TGCCAACCCCTGAAATACAGTTTTGCTACCAGTGAGTATATACACTGTAATGGTGATGTGTGTCAGATGGAATATTAGGCTGAATATACCATGAGATGTAGTGTAAAAGAGGGTATGACTTGCTACTAAGGGATAAGAAGCAGACACATGGTATACTGTCCAGCTAGCAACAAACACTGAAATATTTGAGGACTTTGCTCAATAACATAGCCCTGGTTGCCTACTGATCAAGAGCTTGGCTTCCAACCAAAAGGTCAGGAGTTCAAATCCACCAGCCGCTCCTTGGAAACCCTATGGGGCAGTTCTACTCTGTCCTATAGGGTCACTGTGAGTCAGAATCGACTCAATGGCAATGGGACGGGACATAGGACGAAATGAACAAAGATGCTGTTATGGATCTTGACATTGTTATACTGCAGAAATGACTTATGATGATTTTCTGAGTAAGCCGGTATTATTTTTTAATCCTGCTAAGTGTCTTTAAATCCCTTCAAATGTGCTGGCAAAAAATCTAGTACTTAAAACTGAATAAGGCATATAAAAGATGTTGAGAAGCCACGGTTTTAAACCATCATCACAGCCCTCAGTTTTAACTCATCTGGACATTTGACTAATCACTAATCAGCCTCTGATCAGGAGAGTTCAGTGCACATTCACAAAAATAAAAAAAAATAAAAAAAAAAAAACAAACCTAAATTAGATCCAAAGATAAAAAGGGTCTTTTTGTTTCCAAAGAGATAGGACTTCTCCAAAGGAACTTATCCCAACTAGTGAAGCAGGCCATGCTTTGGGTATTGAAGGCCACATTTCTGTTGGACTTTCAAAATGCCTGCCATCAGATATCTGAAAATCTAAAAGAACATGTTAGAAGTAGCTAAATGGACAGCAAATTTTTTTTAATGACAAATTGAGAGAAAAACCATAATGAAGTTTTTGTAGACTAGCCAAGAAACCTGGTGAGAAGAGAGAGTAAGGGAATGGTGGAGAGATATCTAGGTCCTCCCCTCACCCCCAAAGTACCAACCATAACCATGTTAGATTTGGGGAAAGACTGGGAGAGGAAAATAAGGAAGGAGAAAAGGATAAAGTGGGAAGGGAACATGGGAGGGGCTTATGAGAGCAGTTTGCATTGCAAGAATTTATAGCTACTAAAAGAGCAACAGGAACACTCCACCCTTTCTCTTTCCCACCCTTCCTCCCCACCCCATCCCCATTAAACATTGAATTTAGCAAGATAAGTTACTCTGAGAGAAACAAACTGTGAAGTTACTGAACTTCCTCACTTTTCCCATCAAACATTCCTTGGCTAAATCACTTAATGAGACAGAAAATAGGCCTAGCATGGAACTGGGTATGTGCACAGTATGGACAATTGCACAATTCAGCTTCTCAAAACAAAGCAAATCTTCACAGGCACAGACATGCAGGTGTGTTTAAAATAAAAAGGAAGAGATAGAGAGAGGGAGAGAGAAAGATAGAGAAAAGGAGAGAGACAGAGAGAGAGAAAGGAAGAGAGAGAGAGAAAGGAAGGTGAAACACATTAGTCATTAATTTTTCAGACTATTTTCCCTACCTGCCAGAATGTTGGAGATGGAATGAAAAGTGCTTTAAAGGCCAGCTTATAGTCTACATTTAAAGCTAAGCCACACCATACAAAGAAGTGCAGAAGATCTGACAGGGATCACAACAGAGGGTCCCGGACAGAGCTGGAGAAAAATGTAGAACAAAATTCTAACTCACAAAAAAAGACCAGATTTACTGGCCTGACAGAGACTGGAGAAATCCCGAGAGTACGGCCCCCAGACACCCTTTTAGCTCAGTAATGAAGTTACTCCCGAGGTTCACCCTTCAGCCAAAGATTAGACAGCCCCATAAAATAAAACAAGACTAATGGGGCACAACAGCCCAGGGACAAAGACTAGACGACAGGAGGGGACAGGAAACCTGGTAATACGGAAACCAAGGTCAAGAAGGGAGAGTGTTGGCATGTCATGGGGTTGTTAACCAATGTCATGAAACAATATGTGTACTGTTTAACTAATGAGAAACTCGTTTGTTCTGTAAACCTTCATCTAAAGTACAATTTAAAAAAAAAAAAAAAAAAAGAAGTGCAGAAAACTCTCAGTATCAATGATACCCGAGTAGATGGAAGCAGTCCATGGGAAAACGTGAATGACCAAATTGGCTACAAAGGCTCACCAGTCTCCCAACTGCCTAGAGCTAACTATTTTTCTCTAGTTCAAGGTGAGTGAGCTTGGCTAACTGGGGGTTCAGAAGGCCCCTGCTCAGGCATCAAATGCACCTATCATGAGACTGAGACACCACAATCTGGGCCATACAGGTTAGCACTTTCTGAAAAATTCTTCCCAGAGAAGTTATTTTAATCTTTGGTTTACACTACCTTCCCCACTCCCAAATCTTCCTATGCTGACCTGGGCTTAGGAACAGTGGGGCTGCTGGCAGCTATCATTAGTCAATAAAAGACAGAACTGGTGTCATAATCACTCTGTAACTGCTAGCTATGACAAATTGACACTTGAAGGACAGAATAACCTCTATAGGTATTTTTTAAATTTTTATTAAGAATCCAGTGAGCACGATATCTAAGATGTGCTGTAAACTTCCTCCTTGGTCCCTGCTTCATGTCCCTTCCCATTTCCTCATCTCCCGTCTTTGTTTATATGTCCCTGCCATATTCCTTCCTGTAAAAAGATTCATGTTTATAAAAACTTTACTTAAAATTACTTGCATGGCTTCTAGAACCATAGTGGAAGATGCTAGATAAATCTCACAGAAAGACTAGCAATAATATAAGTGAAAATGCACCTCTAATTTCCTATGTTGCATGTTTACATCCAATAATTCTCCTTTCCTCAAATCTTCATTACACATCTAAGATACAACTATTGGTCTCTTCTCGTTCAGAGCAAAAGAGAAAGAAGGGAACCAAAGACTCAGAGAAGAAACTAGTCCACAGGACTAACAGTCTACACAAACCACAGCCTCATCTACCCTGAGACCAGAGAAGAACTAGACAGCACCCAGCTACCACTAACAACCCAATCAGGGCCACAATAGATGGATCTTGACAGAAGGGAAAAAAATATAGAACAGAACTTAAATTCTTAAAAAATCCAGACTTACCAGACAGGGTGAGACTAGAAGACTCCCCAAGACTATCACCCTGAGATATTCCATAAACCTTGAACTGAAACTACCCCGAGGTCACCTTTTAGTTAAATAACAGGTCAGCTCATAAAATAAAGAATATTACCAGTGAGTACTGCGCTCCTTTAAAAAATCATCTATATGAACCAAACAGTCAACAATTACTCTAAAGCAAAGATGAAGGGGAAAAGGGAAGAGAAACCAGATGACTGGAAACGAAAGATCCAGAATGGAATTAATGAGAATGTTGATACATTGTGAAAAATGTAACAATGTCAGTGAACAATTTGTGTAGTAATTGTTAAATGCAAACTTTCACCTTAAACACAATAAAATATTATTTAAAAAAAAAATCTTCATTATGCTTTATGATAGTACCAGTCCAATGATGGAGCCCTGGTGGTATGTGGTTAAGATCTCAGCTGCTAACCAAAAGGTTGGCAGTTCGAATCCACCAGCTGCTCTTTGGAAACCCTATGGGGCGGTTTTAATGTGTCCTATAGGGTCGCTATGAGTTAGAATCAACTCGATGGCAATGAGTTTGTTTTTGTTTTTATTTTTTTGGTTTTACTCCAATGATACATGATCATTTAACAGATAAGTGAAGATTATCTGTATGCTGCAAGCAAGCCCAGAAGAGAGGCCTGCGCACAACATACAGAAGAAGGTTGCTTAACAGCTTTATGTTAAATAATAGCTCATCTATGAGATCATAGAATAAGTCATTAGGAACATTAGCGCTGTCCTGATTTTTGTCACAAAGCTATAAATTCTCTGCAAAATATCTTTTTCCAGTGGTTAATAAAGAACAAACTGGGACTTTTGGTACCAGCCAAGACGGAGTAAGCCCACTCCAGCCTATCTCTCCCACTGATTACACCTAAAACCTCTGAAGAAAACACAAAAAGCAGCTACCTGTGGACAGAATACCACAGCAGGAGGATAGGTGAGGAAAGACCATATTTGAAAGACAACCAATAAGATGGTGAAACCATGGAGGCCTGATGACGGTGGAATGTTATCTTTAAATTGGTGAAAGCAAAGAGCTGTCAACTCAGAATTCTATATACAGCAAAAATATCCTTCAGAAATGAAAGCCAAAGACAATCTCAAATGAAGGAAAACTAAGAGAATCTGCCACCTGAAGACCTGCACTAAAGTAAATGCCATCCAAAGTTCTAACGGCTGAAGGGAAATGACACCGGACGTAAACTTGGAACTTTAGGAATGAAGGAAGAGCAACCAAAACAGTAAACATCTGGATAAATATAACAGACTATTTTTCTCCTCTTAAATGTATGACTGTTGAAAGCAAAAATTATAACATTGATGGGATTTTCAATGTATGCAGATATAATAATACAAAGGAAAAAATAACTTAAAAGGAAAGCGCCAGAAACATAAAAGACAACAGAGGGTGAAGGGTCCTATTTGGTTGTAAGGCTTCGAGGTTTTACTTGAACTTGTAAAAATATAACTCTAAATAGATTACAAAAAATTAGTTGTATTTATTGTAACTCCTAGAACAACTACTTAAAAATAATACAAAGCCAGAAAGTCAATAGATAAAATAAAAATATTTTTTAAATCTAAAAAAAAGGCAGAGGAGACAAACAAAAATAATAAAATGATAGACCTCAATCCAACCATGCAACATACACACACATACATAATTATTATAATTAAGGGGAAAAATAATGAAACCATGGGCCCAGCTTTTCTTCTTCTAATACCAATCTAACAAGTTTTTCTAACGCCAGTCATTTTGATTTATGCTCTGTGGAGACTGACAGTAAAAATGTTTGCATATTTAAAATTAAATTTTAACATACCCTGTCGAAGAGGGCAAAAAGTTGTCTCAAGACATCCGAAACAGGCAACTTCAGATACTCTGCAAATTCTTCAATTCCAATTCTTCCTCCTTTTGAGGAACTTGCAATAGAAGCATATTCATCCAAATGCTTACGAATACCATCCCAATCTAATCTAAACAAAGAAACATAAAAACATGTTATTAGCTCTTTACAATTCAAATGAATATTTTATGAGCATTGTTTTATTAATTTATCTAAGGGAAAATATTTGGTGTTAAATTTGAAAAGGAAAATAAAATAGGCATTTAAACTACATATTGAATATGTATGCAGACATTTAATTTTTTTAATTAATCATCCCAAGTATCTGAAGGGAATAAAAGTACCTGAGAAGACGAACAATGTAGTGGTACAATAAATGACTCACAAAAGAAAATAAAGCAAATTCCCTGGTAGCGCAGTGGTTAAGAGCTCAGCTGCTAACCAAAAGTTTGGCAGTTCGAATCCATCAGCTGTTCCTTGAAAACCCTATGGAGGAGTTCTACTCTGCCCTATAAGGGTCGCTATGAGTTGGAATCCACTCAATGGCAATTTTTTGCTGTTGTTGTTCATGTGGTTTAGTCAATAACACTGAGTTGGTACAAAAGAAATTACAATTCTTGCCTTCAAGGAGCTTTCAGACTGACAGTGAAGTAGGACTCACGTTTTACAAATTGTTGTGATAAGGAGATTCGTTAGACTATACACATTTCCACTAATCTAAGTAACAAGAAATCAGGATAATAAAACACTGAAAAATATACTGTAGCTTATTATATCAAGGCCTGTCTCTGCCTTAAAGAATCAGAGAGGTGACCTAACATACTTCTATATCCAATTTTAATGACTACCTAAACCTTTCAAACCTATAGGAGTATTGTGAACTTAACATCAAAACAATAAAGCTAAACATTTTTGTTATCTAGCAGGTATAAATAATGCTTGCCCATATCAGTTATCAATATTTTAATATTGAACTTTGATACAATACCTAATTCTGAACTTCCTTCCTAGGGAGGACGCCAAGGTCTATTAAATCAATAAATTCTGCAATTCCCTAACAGGACTGAGAACAGATGAGTTGTACTAAGAGGGGGGCTTTTACATCAGATAATTCAAAGGGAACGTTCTATAAGGTTTAAACAAGATCTTAAAAATGCAAAAGAGTGTTTTTGCCTCTTTTATTTTTTTTTAAATTAAGTACCCAGAGGAAAAAGCGTAGACATAGAGTATTTAAAAGGACTCTTGGTGGTGCAATGAGTAAGTGCTCAGCTACCAACTGAAAGGTTGGCAGTTCAAACTTACCCAGTGGCTCAACAGAGAAGGACCCGGCAATTTGCTTCTGACAACAATAACAGAGTATTTAAAATCCAGCGATGGTCAGAACTGCTACTATTCAAGTCAATTCGTGTTTCACATGTGAGGTTCTGCCCACCACATGCCAGTATCATCTAATTAAGCTATCCTTTCATAAGAAGGAGTCCCTAGGTGGTGTAAATGGTTAACGTGCTTGGCTGCTAACTGGAAGTTTGGAGGTTTGGGTCCACCCAGATGTGCCTTGGAAGAAAGGCCTGGCAATCTACTTGTGAAAAATCAGCCATTGAAAAACTCTAATGAGCACAGTTCTACTCTGACATATATGGGATCGCCATGAGTCAGAGTGGAGTTGGCAGCAACTGGTTTTCTCATAAGAAGGCAACAGGACTTACTCCCTACTCAGAGCCATTTCTAAGCAGGGAGGAGGGTCTGTGCTGATACACAATTACTATCTTCAAGTTAACTGCTCTTGAAAAACCAAAACTAGGTGGACTAAGTGGGAGGCAAATTCACAACCCTGGCTTCCCTGATAAACACCATGTGAGTCTTAGAGCCAAGCATTAATAAAGCAAGAGAAAATAAACATACAGGATTTCAGATCTCTTCTGGATATCTTTATGAAAGTGTAGTAATTTTAAAACACACTTACTTCAATTTCCGGCTAATTTTAGTAAATTCCACCAACCCAGTTTCCATAGGCAATGTTAGCTGTCCTGCTGAAATCATCAATCTGCAGTCTTCATAGGTGTGATCTGTAACTGGTATTCCCAGAGCACTAAAAGTGTTAGAAAGCAAACTGAAATTCAGTGTTTAAAACAGGTGATGATTTTTCATTAGGCCTGAATCAGTCAACAAACAACAGTAGATGGAAAAGTATTTACTACTTATTCAACCAGTAGCTCTGGCTTTTTCTTGCCAGGGACTTATTCCTCTACTTTGTCACTGACTTACTGGGCCTTGATTTACTCTTCTTATGTCCACATGCTTCTGTCTTTGCAGCTGATCAGTTTTGTTTTGTTTTAACTATCACAATAATAATAGTTGGCTTGAGTCTCATGGAAAGTAATTAGAAAGTACCAGCTGGCACTTAACCGAAGCCTCAGTTTTCTCATCTGTACATAGGAATAACGTTTTTATTCGACTTATCCCACAGGATTATGGTAAGGACAAAATAAAAATGCATATGGAAGTACTGTGTAAACAGATAAATGGTGGTTGTATATAGTTTATTTGATCAATCTATACAAGCCTCTAGTCATACGTATTTTCTGATCTTTTAAAACTGGTGATCACCTTCTTGCTACATAACAATCTTTTGCAAATACTGGAAAGAACTGATAATAAGCTATTTCTTCCAAACCTAAATGTCTTCCAGCCTCAAAGGAGAGCATAACCTCTACTATCTCCTTCCTGCTCAGAGACCTGATACTAGTGGAATATATTTGAAAAAATACATATTAATAAGCAGTAAAAAAAAAAAAAAAAAATCACTGAGTACCAAGAAGAAAAGCTGTGCAGAACATGAAATAATTTCCTAAAGATCCCTCTTCACTAAATTGTGATTTGCAAATATTCAGTGCAAATCATAAAATTAGGTATTCAAGTGTATTTGATTTTGTTGAATCATTGCTAGGAACATTAAATTCTGAAGACTGCAATCAGAATTAAAGCATTTTTTTTTCCTATCTATAACTAGGCTGTTTTTACCTAGTTATATTTTGGCATAAGAAAATAAATATTTTGGCATAAGAATATAAAAAGATGGAAAATAAAAATTAAAAATATTTCAGTAATTATAATACGAAACAGGATTGCTTGTGGTTAAGAATGTGGGCTTTGGTAACAGGAAATGCGAGTTTCAGTCCCAGCCCCAATACAGTATCCTGTCTGATCTTGGGCAAACTACTTACTCCTCTGAGTCTCAGTTTCCTCGCTCACCTCACAGAGTTGCTGCAAGGATTATGTCAGATAACACGGGTAAAGGGCCTATATTAAGCACTATAAATGTTTATCGGCACCACCATGACCTTACATCTACTCTGCTCTTTACCATTGTACAGATGCTTTCATCATAGATTTTCTTGAGTCTCACAATAACCAAAACTATGAGAAAGGCAAAGCAAGGATTATTATTCCCATTTTACCTATGAGGAAAGCAGGCCTTGAAGAAGACTTGTTTATGGTTGTACAGCTAATAAACATCTTTCTTATTCTTTATCCAAGGCCCTAATATCCACACCTCCAAACTCAGAAAAGGGCTGCTTTAACAAATCCCTTCTCTGTTTCAGCCACATTTTGGGAGGCCAAAATATCTGATACTAATTCTCTCAGGTCCTAGCACTTATCACCTTTCCTAACATGTAGGCAGAAGCTGAAATGAAGACATAAGAAGAAAGAGGAAAAAACAATGTAAAAGCAAATTTTGTACCTGGTCTACCAACTAGATGAAACAAGCATATCTAGGTACACAGAATAGCAAAGTGATCTGCTAAACATTTAAGCATTTATTCCTTGTTGAAAATAAAGGGTATTCTGCTGTGAAATATTAAGATGACTTCATCTCTCTTTTTATATATATATATATGTATGTATGTATAGATACATGGATGGATGGATGAATGGATGGATGGATAGACAGATAGACAGACAAATAGACAGGCACCCTTGTAGCACAATGGTTAAGCATTCAGTTAACTGAAAGTTTGGTGGTTCAAACCTACCCAGAGGCCCTGTGGGAGAAAGACCAGACGACCTGCTCTTGCAAAGATTACAGCCTAGAAAACACTATGGGGCAGTTCTATTCTGTCACATGGGATTACTATAAGTCAAAATCAACTCGATGGCACCTAACAACAGATAGACAGATGATGTTGTTGTTGTTGTTAGGTGCCCTCGAGTCAGTTCTGACTCATAGTGACCCTATGTACAACAAAACGGAACACTGGCCAGTCCTGTGCTATCCTCACAATCGTTGCTATGCTTGAGCCCATTGTTGCAGCCACTGTGTCAGTCCATCTTGTTGAGGGTCTTCTTCTTTTTTGCTGACCCTCTGCTTATGATGTCTTTCTCCAGGGACTGGTCCCTCCTGATAACATGTTCAAAGTATGTAAAACGAAGTCTCGCCATCCTTCCTTCTAATGAGCATTCTGGCTGCACTTCTTCCAAGACAGGTTTGTTCATTCTTTTGGCAGTCCATAGTATGTTCAATATTCTTTGCCAACACCATAAGTCAAGGCATCGATTCTTCTTTGGTCTTCCTTATTCATTGCCCAGCTTTTGCATGCATACGAGGCAACTGAAAACACCATGGCTTGGGTCAGGCACACCTTAGTGCTTAAAGCGACATCTTTGCTTTTTAACACTTTAAAGAGGTCTTTTGCAGCCGATTTGTCCAATGCAATGCGTCATTTGATCTCCTGACTGCTGCTTCCATGGGCGCTGATTGTGGATCCAAGTAAAATGAAATCCTTGACAACTTCAATCTTTTCTCCGTTTATCATGATGTTGCTTACCGGTGCAGTTGCGAGGATTTTTGTTTTCTTTATATTAAGTTGTGATTCATACGGAAGGCTGTAGTCTTTGATCTTCATCAGTAAGTGCTTCAAGTCCTCTTCATTTTCAGCAAGCAAGGTTGTGTTATCTGCATCTTGCAGGTTGTTAATGAGTCTTCCTCCAATCCCGATGCCGCGTTCTTCTTCACATAGTCCAGCTTCTCAGATTATTTGCTCAGTGTACAGATTGAATAAGAATGGTGAAAGGATACAGCCCTGATGCACACCTTTCCTGACTTTAAACCACACGGTATCCCCTTGTTCTGTTCAAATGACTGCCTCTTGGTCTAAGTATAGGTTCCTCATGAGTACAATTAAGTGTCTGGAATTCCTATTCTTCTCAATGATATCCATAGATTGTTATGATCCACCCTGTCGAATGCCTTTGCATAGTGAGTAAAACACAGGTAAACATCATTCTGGTATTCTCTGCTTTCAGCAAGGTTCCATCTGATATCAGCAATGGTATCTCTTGTTCCACGTCCTCTTCTGAATCTGGCTTGAATTTCTGACAGTCCTCTGTCGACGTACTGCTACAATTGCTTTTCAATGATCTTCAGCCAAATTTTACATACATACATCTATGCATACATACACACATTCATCCATACATAGATATAGATGTGGACATAAATAAACTTATTATGAAGTCATGCTTCCTGAGCTTAAATTCAGAGTTCTCACATTCAGAGTGCTGGCCTATTAGCGCCAAACCTGCTACTCTGAATGACAGAGGGAGTTGGTGCCTGGGAAGAGAGTGCACACCTGGAGGGCCCTGAGGCTGTCTAGGTGGCAGTCATAGTATAACACAGTCTTTCATTACAAGACAGAGGGTGATTTATCTAGTCAAAACAGTAGCCAGTTCAAGCTCCCTTAAGTGCAAGCAAATATTTGCTTTATGTTTTATAGTTTCTAAATCTTAAATTTATAGTCAACCCTTAATGGGGGAGACTTTTTCCTTTTCTCTGCATCTTTTTTCCTTGCAGGCTTTCTCCTTTTTGGTGCTACAATCACTAATGCCTTTGAAACACCCAGCCTGGGCTGCTATATGGAGACTGAGGGGAGAGAGGCAGGCCATGGCAGAAATCACTGAGACCATCACAAGGCTTTGGCTGAAGGGCCAGTGTGGACCAGCTTGGCACAAACCACCCTGCAGAAGGCACCACCTGGTGTTTTCAGGTTATTGTGCCCCGTGGCAAAAGCATCTCCATTAATAGCTGCAGATGGGGAAAATACTTACAGATTGTCTTACTGACCACATCCCTGGCATGTTATTTTACTTACCAAAATGCGTTGTGGAAAGCGGCCCTCAAAAGAAAACCTTAAAACTACATTAAATGCCATTTATCAGCAATCTTCAAATTATTTACTGATTATAATCATATATAGACACTTACTCTGCCATGACATTCCGGACTCTGTTGGCAAAAAGGACAGGATCGCTCTTTTCTTCATGATTAGGTACTTGAACAGGCAAAAACTGAAAGACAAATATACCTGTCCATAACAATCCTTAGGCCTAAAGCATTAAATGCTAAATAAATTAATTTAAAACTCTCCATCATTATATTAAAGGAGTCCTGGTGGTGCAACAGTTAAGCGCTTGGCTGCTAACTGAAAGGTTGCGATTCAAACCTACCCAGCGGCTCCTCGGGAGAAAGACCTGGAGATCTGCTTCTGTAAAGATTACAGCCTGGAAAATCCTATAGGGCAGTTAGTTCTGCTCTGTCACATGGGGTTGCTATGAGTTGGAATCTACTCCACAGCACCTAACAACAACAACATCATTATATTAAACCCCCTACCTTTCTAGAGTAGAGGCTGCATGATATAAAGGAAGGGACGCTGGGCTTGGGCTCAGGAGACCTGTATCCAAATCCTGGCTCTTTTTGTGTATTCCCAGTGTATCATTTAACTTTTCTCAACTGTCTCCTGAACTCTAAAAGGAGGGCTATGATCTCTACTTCCCTGGTGCTATGGATTGAATTGTGTCCCCCAAAAGCGTGTGTCAACTTGACAAGGCTGTGATTCCCAGTATTGTGGGTTATCCTCCATTTTGTGATCTGATAATCCTAGCTGTTATAAATCCTAACCTCTATGATGTTAATGAAGCAGTATTAGAGGCAGTTATGTTAATGAGGCAGGACTCAATCTACAGGATTAGGTTATATTTTGAGTCAATTTCCTTTGAGAGATAAAAGGAGAGAGAAACTAGTAGAGAGAAGAACCTCATGCCACCAAGAAAGAAGAGCCAGGAGTAGAGCAGGTCCTTTGGACACAGGGTCCCTGTGCTGAGAAGCTCCTAGACCAAGGGAAGACTGATGACAAGGACCTTCCCCCAGAACTGACGGAGAGAGAAAGCATTCCCTGGGAGCTGGTGCCCTGAATTCAGACTTCTAGCCTCCTGGATTGTGAAAGAATAAATTTCTGTTTGTAAAAGCCATCCACTTGTGGTACTTCTATTATAGCAGCACTAGATAACTAAGACACCTGCGTTGTTGTGAGGATGAAATGAGCCAGTGTCTGTGAAGGAATTCTGCCTATAGCTACTAAGATCTTATTCTCAGAGCTGCATTTTCCACCACCACCCCCACAACCCACTGCTTTTTGTGAAAAAAATTTTTTTCCTTCATAGTTTATTTTCTCTATCCTTTCCAGTGTCAACCGTTTATCCTTATATATTCATATTTTTATCATGTAATCTAATTTTAGGTTTTGTTATTTTTTTTTCTGCCATTTTTACCCGTAGTATTGACTAAGGAAGACCCTTGATGAGATGGATTGACACAGTGGCTCCAACAATGGGCTCAAGTATAACAACAATTGTGAGGATGGTGCAGGACTGGGCAGTGTTTCATTCTGTCGTACATAGCGTCGCTGTGAGTCAGAACTGACTCAATGACACCTAACAAAAACAACAAGTATTGCTTTCTAGCTTTTGCTTAATATAATGTTTTGCTTTACTTTTTTTTAAAATTTCATTCATTTTGTTGTTGTTGTTGCGAATATATACAGCAAAACATGCACCAATTCAACAGTTTCTACATATACCATTTAGTGACACTGATTATGCTTTATTGTTTTTAATTTTACTTTTTCTCCACGTGCTGTTCTGTGATGCCTCATTTGTACTGCCCTTATTTTTATTTATAGTATTCCAACAGTAAAGAATTTTGGTGTCATATTCAAATCACTACATATTTTGGGAGTATCTACTATATACAAGGCACCATGAAAGCCAAGATTAATAGGCCCCTATTCCTGCTCTAAAGGAATTTTAATAGGAGAGACCAATATATCAAGAACCCCACGTGCTAAGTCATCAATCTCCTATTTTCCCCAATTACAGGTGGGGTTACAAGCTTAATTAATTTGTCCAAGGTCACATAGGCCACACACCAGGATTCAGCTCAAGGTCTGTCAAATTCTAATGCCCTCACTTTCCCCACTAAACCATCCTTCCTGCAGTATGACAGAGGCAGGGAGGAAATGACTAATTTTGCCAGAGGGCATGGAAAAGCAGCCAAAAAAACTTTACAAAGCCCACTTGATCTTGACGTTTAATAATAAATATAATTTCTCCAACAGCTACCATTTATTCAATATAACTATGAACCAGGTACCATACTAGGTGCTTCATATGCATTATTTCATTAATCCTCCCCCATTTTAATCAAAAGGAATTGAGGTTCAGAAAGATTAATTGACTTGCTCAAGATCTCATAGCTCAATTTTATTCAACAAATATAGCTTAGGCACCTACTATGTGCCAGGCACTGCTCTAAACCCTAAAGTCACAACGAATGGTCCCTGTACTGAAATTCTCCATGCCATGGGGTAGAAAGACCCAGAAATATAGAATTTATGATATAATGAGCCAAGTCCACTGAGCTAACTACCATCCATTAAGTATCTACTGTGTGCTAGGCACTTTATATTAGGGAATTTATCATTAGCTCTCACAGTGATCCATTTCCTGCCATTTACCGTTTCTACCAATTACTAGATAAATTAGATAAATAAATCTAATTAGATAATAAATTAGATATTAGATAAATAATGAGGCCAGAAGAGGTTCAACAATATAGCCAAAGCCACACACAACTGGCAGGGCCATAATTTGAAATGAAAGACTTGCATTAAAAAAAACACCACTTTTGGACTCACTTGAACCTAGTTTCAAACTTTGTTAATCATGTTAAGATGCCTACAGACAATAGTGACTCAGAGACAGAGTTTAAGCAAGGGGGTGACATGGTCAGGCCCAAGTTTTGGAGCCATAACTTCAGTGGTGGGGAATGGATGCACCCAAGAGGTTAGGAGGCTAAGAGCAGGGAGAAGCCCTGGAGGCTACAGCAGTCACCCTGTGAGAGATGGGAAGACCATGAATAGAGGGAACATGGGTGAAGAGTGCATGAATGCAAATGGTATTTTAAGATAAAATGGATAAGAACTGTAGATTAATGCACTATATGTCATTTTATTTTTCACGTTTATTTGATTAATTTCCTCTCCAAGGGGGCAGTGCCATGTTGCAGAGAGACCACTTGGCCTGGGTTTTTGTCTTGGCTCTGCTGTATGATTCTGGAAACGTCATTTAGATTTTATGCATCTCAGTTTCCTCTCCTGTCAAATGAGAAAGTTTGACTAGATGATCTATAAAGTCCTTTCCAACTAAAACTCTATGTCTGGCTTACCTATTTCCAAAAACCAAACTCGCCGTCGAGTCGATTCTGACTCATAGTGACCCTACAGGACAGAGGAGAACTGTCCCATATGGTTTCCAAGGAGCAGCTGCTGGATTCAAACTGCCGACCTTTTGGTTAGCAGCTGCTGTAGCTCTTAACCACTGCACCACCAGGGCTTTCTATTTAGCATCCAGTTATTCTTTAAGATGGAAAAATAAACTAAACCACTAGAGGTCCCCACATCCCTTATATATCTGCAACAACAAACTCTGCAAACAAATACTTGCAAACATTCCTTCCACCTTGATCTAGTAAAATCTCTTATACTTGCTTAGTATGCAATCCAAGGAAGAAAAAAATAACAAGCTAAAATCAAATGTTCATAAACTATCTAACAAAATAGCATAAGGAATTAAAGTTTTTATTTTCCATATAATTCTTCTTTTTTAAAAAATCAAATGACCATTTATAATACACTTGATTTGTAGATCATAAAAGCATATATTGAAAACCCTGAAAAATAAATTGCTGCTACACTGTTAACCAAGTATAATACAAGGAACTATAGATTTGGTTCCTATTAGTGTAAGTAATATTTTCCATGAAATGATTTTTAATAACTCTCATATTGGTGTGGCATTTTGTTCTTGGGGAAAAACATTCCACTGGGAGCACACAGGAATTAAAAGCCTAGATTTGACATTCTCAGGCCTTAGAGGTCTCGATACCTCCTGCAAAACAATTCAACGGAAATTTTAATAAAAAGTCACCTCTCCTAGGATAAGACCTTGTCCTCAATACCACATTTTCATTTTGTACAAAGCCATTCAAAGTGTGAAGCATGGACATAGCCTTTATCTGAGAGGGGAGATCAACCAAAAGAGAAGAACATGGTTGCCATTATCTATTAGCATGCCACCCCAACACACATGAAAATACCCCAGTAATTTCAGGATCCCAAGTTCTTTGCACCTTCATCTTTTCTTACTATCCTCAGTATCCACACTGATGACCCACCTGACATCTTCATTTCATAGCCCCTTCACCTGGCCACAGATATTCTTCTCAATTCTACCTCAGCCACAGAAATAAACATATGACTCTAAACTCCTCCTCCGACAAGTTTTTCATTCAGAGTTCCCCCTCATTATCCATTAGTGCTTACCTCCCCCGCTAGCCTGGTCCCACATGGACTGTGGGAACCCAGGGGTCACCCTCAAGACCTGCACATCCCTCTTTATCCACTCCCTCCTGGCAACATCTGCCTGCCTACCTACACTAGGCTTCAGTCAGACACTTCCATACGGCCTCTGTCACCAAGAATCTTTTACTTCTGCCATACCCATGATGCCAATCACAAATCCTGTCACCCCTCCTGATGTTGCCTTCCCACTCCTGTTAGAGACCACTGAGGGATGCTAAAGAAGTTACAAAACCTCATTAGTTGAGGCTACTACAAATTCTTACTAACTTCCATAGGGGTCTCACAGTTGCTTGAAAATTATTTTATTTTCCCAAAGTGACCATAAATCAACTAGTAGCTGTCAAGTTGACTTTGACTCATGGTGACCCCATGTGTATCAGAGGAGAACTGTGCTCCATTGGGTTTTCAATGGCTGATTTTTCAGAAGTAGATCACCAGGCCTTTCTTCTGAGGCACCTCTGGGTGAACTCAAACCTCCCACCTTTCCATCAGCAACCGAGCCCATTAACCATTTGTACCACCCAGAGACTCCAAGGTGACCACACTGCCTTCAAATATAAAATAGTTTTTTTTGTTTGTTTGTTTGAT